CCCCAAAACCCCAAAACCCCGCAAATCCTCTTTTCTAATTATTTAAGGATTAAAATAGATTTAGATAATAATAAAAATTAATAATATTTAATGTAGGATTTAGACAGCTCTCTTTCTAATGGAGATTATAACCAGCTTCCAAATCATGAAGAAATAAAAATGATTTCAGATTAATCCAACGCAAAATCATAAAATGAGAACTCAAATAATCAATCTAGCAATCTTAATTATGGACAAAAAAGTGAAGTAAGAATAATATTCCATAATTTTTCAGGAATAACAAAATTCTATCGTGAGAAACTATTAAAAATCCAATGATCATAGCAATGAAAGCATATCAATAATTCATTATAACAAGAATAATGGAAAGTAGTATCTTAGATTGGCACTTTTTGATGAATAAAAGAGAATATTTCCAAGTTGCATCCATTATGATAAGTTATAATTGGAACTAAGCGGACTCAATCACAACTATGATGGATATACGCCTTAAATTGATATTTTCAAAATTGAATTCTAATTAGCTAGTTCTTACACTGATTAAGATAAAATATTTATCTTAGCCTCTATCCTTGATGCACTTATTTGCTAATTCCAAAATGGCTATGTAAATCAAGGGTATCTTGTTGAGAATTTTATTATCATTGACAAATTCCTAGTTAAATTAACTGAGAAAGAAGAAGAGAAATTTGAAAATCAAGGTGGAAATGATTATTTCAATCAGAAAGTAAGCTAATTAGTTTAGCTTCTTCAAATCATCAAGACATAAGCTAGCTAATTAGGAGTGATTGAATTAAGTCCTAATGAAGAAGTCTTTGACCTTAACGATGATGACAATGAGAGTAAGAAAAAATAACTTTGTCACTAAGCTCTTGCCAAATGTATTTATATTAAACACTAGATTATTAAGCACATACTTAAAAATAGAGACACCTTGAAATACATTTTGTAGAAACTTAGCGATACTCATTTAGAATTAGTTTATGTCTCTATACTATCAGGATTAGAGATACACCTTAATTCTGAAAAAATAATCTCCATGGTTGCTTAAAAGGTCTGCTATAAATGTTAATAAGTTGGAGAAAAATTTGTGATTAGCTGCAAGGCTAATTAGTAAGAGACAGAAGCGATGGTGATTATTGATTATGCAGCTATTTTTGAAAAGATTAAAGAAAGTTTTGAAAAGTTGTGAAAACAATAAAATCTTATCAACTTTTTATTAAGACAAACCATTATCCTTATATTTCTAATAATTCATAATAGCAATCTAAATATGTCATAATTTCAAAGAACGGGGTTTTGGGGTTTTGGGG